AAAAGATGAATAATTCTTTTCCTATGACACTAGCAAAAGTGAAGTTATTTTTGCATGTGCTCTTCCAATTACTATACATGCATATTCATCCATTTGCCTAATCAAATATTATTTATTGCCTACCATATGCCAAGCTCTATTTTATCAATGGAGATATGGTAATGTAGAAAGCAGATAATGTCCTTGCCATTTTAGATCTTATCTTGTAGTGGGAGGACACAACAAAATATGTAAACAAAACCAAATACATCAACACACTAACTTCAGAGAGTAAATAAGTGCTATGAAGGAATCAGATGGTGTAACGGCAGAATACTATGGAATGTGGCCAGAGAAGGCCTCTCTGAACATAACATATGTGAGCCAAAAAATACAAGGTCATAAGAAAGCTCAAACTTACTCAATGGCTAAATAATTGAAACCATGTAGCTCATAAAAAATTGTTCATATTTTTCTCTAATTAGTAGTCTTTTTTTCAGAGAAGTAACAAAATACATTTTTAAATGATTGTTCTTAAAACCGTGTGAAGCTGACTAATTGCAGAAGTACAGAAAGGACAGCAGAGAATCTAGTTAGGTGGCTATTGCAGTAATCCCTGTGACTTAGACTAAATAAGTGGCAGTGAAAATGGAAAAAAAGATGGGTTTGAGTTATTTTTTGATAGAACTGAAAGGACTTGTGTTCACACTGGATGTGACAGGGGAGTGAAAAAGAGGAATCAAGACCTAACAAGTTTTTGCTTCAGCATCTGTGTCGATGGTGGAACCATTTGTTAAGATAGAAAGAATTTGGGAGAAGCAGGTTTGAGGGAAAGGCGATCAAATTTTAGATATGATACATGCTAATATAAAAAAAACAATGGGAGATATTAAGAAAATAGTTAGAAAAGATATTTTGCAACTTATAGTGGAAAGCCTATATACAGATACATATTTTGAGGACACATGAATCTAGATGACTCTAAAAACATCTAGGTCTCTAGGCAGGCCTAGAATTATGTTCTGGAACATCCCAACATTTAGATTTCATTAGAAGATAGAGGGTCCGGCCAAAAGGATGAAGTGAGTAAAAAATAAAAAAATAAATAAGAGAAAATACTATCATATCAGCATACCATATCATATTTTTAGAGAGATGAAGTTCTAAAGAAAGAAAAATGATGCTAAGATTAAGAACTATGCCAAGAGAAAAATACTCACAGGATTTTACATTATGGAAGGTGTTGAATCTGATAAAATCAGTGTCATTGGAGTGGTTGACAGGGAAGTAAATTGAGGACAGATTAATACCAAAGAAGAGTTGAAGAAATGGCAACAGCAGTTTCATCAGCCCTTCAAAACATATAATTTGTGGAAAATTATTTTTATGAATGGAGAAGTGATAGTTGTACTTGAGTGGGAAGGAAATTATTATAGATTCAGTCATAAAAATAAAATAATTTTAAAAGCAAAGTTCTTGAGAAAGTAAGGGCAAGTTGGATCCAAAGCATGAGCATGGGTTTGGAGTCGTATGTTTAGCCCATTATAGAAGCAGAGAAGTTTATCCACTGTAACATTAAAGAAAGATTATACAAGAAAGAAGGGAAGTAGTTTTGTAGATTTGGCATTATATAACAGAGGGAGTTTCTGTCTGATTGCTTCCATTTCATTAAAAGACTTAATATATGTAAAGCTCTCAGAACAGTGCCTGGCCCCAAGCAAGTATAAGTGTTAGCTATTAATATTTCTCGATGAAGTATGAAGCAAAGTCATCAGCTGAACATAATGGGGTGGGCAGAAAAGTGTAAGAAAAAATGTGAAATAATCATTGTTGGAAAAAAATACTTCATTACTTCTGGAGCCCCACCCTTGGAACCACCCACAGTGTGTAAAGGATTTTATTGTGTGACTTTGGCCTTTCTTGGTACTTTATGCATTCTGCCCCGGAAGAGGTAGAAAACCATATCTTATTGATAAATTTTGAAATAACACACCAATAATGTATAGTTTGGTTTCATCTAAGTTTCCTCTTGGCGTAATCTCTTTGAGGTGAGCAAACTCCTGTCCTCCTCCTTGCCATGACATTAACTTATATCGGTGAAATCTCCAAAGTTGAGATCTGTCCTGGTCCATCACTGCCCTACACTGGAGTTTATTATGATTAGATCTACTTACCTATAAACATGAGCCATATCTTCCAACTTAGACTTCATCATTAACAAAATTGATCATGTAGTCTCTGTCTATGACCCCCTTGTCTTTTTCATCACTTGGTCTAGAGCAGAAACAAGGGACAAAGAAGATATTTAACCAGTCTCCTTAGAGACTACTGATATCTTCCTAGAGATTACTAGTTGTGTAGAATTGGGCAAATTAATTAATATATCTTTAAATCAATTTCCACATCAATTAAATATGGATAATAAGAGAATTGATCTCGTGGGGTAGTTTTGAACATTTATAATAATGATTAAAAGTATGCTTGCAAGTTAGTACATGCTTTACAGTGTGAACTCTTCATTTCAATATAAGTCTATATTAAAAGTAATAGTGGAGTGAAACCAAAGATCAAGGGTAGAAAAACAAGAGCACAGGGGAATGGTTGGAAAAAGAGGAAGAGAGTATATTTAGAAAGAGGAAGAGAGTACATATTTAGAAAATCTTAATTAGTCCATGAAACTTTTGGACTCAACTGGGAGATAATTCTTGAAATCGTGTATCAAAAAGCAAAAGCTATTCTCTACCTCATTTCCCAAGCTGTTTATAGGGAAGTTGATGAGTTAAATGGGGAAGGACTATAAATAGATGTTCAATCCAAGTTGACAACATGACACCATGAAAATGACAAGATTGTCTGCTGGGATCCAAATAGGATTCTATTGTGTTATTTGTTAAGCTTAGTGCTAAATATTCATCAATGTAAATATTCATTCAACAGTATTATTGATAGAGATTGTTGATTTGCTTGCTAAGGGAGACAGATTTAACTACAATAGTGCCTAGCACAACCATTGAGTGGTGAGAGGGTGATCACCAAAACTACATGAAGTGAAATTGTTTTGTTTTTGAGATTTGTTTTCTCCCTCTACATCCCTTGAAAAGAAACAGAATGAGTTGAGATGAGAAGATGGTATTTCAGGCAAGGGGAAAATCATATGCAAAGGTATGGAGATAAATGAAAAATATTTAGGAAGTAGAATCTAACATTTGTGCCAGTGTCAAGAAGTAAAAGTAAGCAAGCAAGCTGGGGATTTATTGTCCACAAAGAAGTTTGAATTTTATTCTTAAGATGATGGAAACCAGAATAAGATGTTAAATAAGGGAATAAGGGATTGGTATGAAAGTATTTGTTCTTTAGAAGTATATATACACACACACATACATACATATACACACACACAGATATACACATATATGTATGTATGTATATGTGTATATCTGTGTGTGTGTATATATATATATATTTTTTTGACAGAATAGAATGAAGGCCTGTAAAAAGGTTATTACCATAAATCAGATGAGACTTGAATGGAGCCTGATTGTGGTAGATTGTTTTATCCTGTGTTCTAGGAAAATAATATATCCCTAGTCCTCATGTGGCTTTCAGTGATTCCCTATAGGTAAAGTATACTTCCTTGGCCCACTGACTGGCTTGGTCTTGTGATTTGCACCCAGGAACTGTGAGTGAAGTAACAGAGTGTGAGTTCCAGGGAAATGCTTTAAGAGTCGGTGGGCATATCTTACCTTCACTCACTCATTTCCTTCTGCAACAAGAACAGTATGTCCCAAGAGGGGATTCTTCTTCAGCCCAGGAGTCAGAACGTGAAGGTTCGTGCAGCAGAAACTATAGTGGTCTACCAGCAACTGCTGACCTCTACCGTGAGAAAAAAGGAAACGTTTATTGCTGGAGGCCACCGAGATTTTGAGTTTCTTGTTAGATCTATGGTATACTGACAAGATATACTTAAAATGGAATAAGTAAGAGTGAAGAAAGAGCAGATTAAAAAGGATATAAGCAGGATGATAAAAAGTAATGAATGGCCAAGAAAAATCAAAGGCAATTCTTAGTCACCTGGGTGGATAACTACCACTAAAGTGCAGGCATTGGACTCATTTTATCCTCAACACCAATGCTATGCTGGGATGTCAACATTGTATCTTCATGTTACCTGACAAAGGACCTTATACTCTCAAAGTCGGTCCCACAACAAACCAGAGGTTAGTAGGAAAACAACGATAGTAACCTCATGCTTCATTATTAATGAAGAAGGAGGAATAAGTTTGTGGATAACAATGAATGGTAAAGATAAGATTTTCTCAGTTGTAAGAGATAGACCTCACTTTAAACATAATCAATTGATCCATGTCTCTGATATTTTCAAAGAATTAATCAGACTACAGTCACTGCTGGAACCAATATCTTGAAGTCACTGTTTTTCCTTCTACATATCTTGGATCTGATTTATTTGCATAGCTTAATTCCCAAACAGTTCTCAATAATAGGTGACAATACGGCTGCCTGTAACTTGAAGGCAATGATCACAGAGGAATAAAAACCAAATTAAAAAAAAAAAAACAACTTATCGAAAAGGATCTTATTGGGTCTCTTTGGGCCAGGTGTCTGTCTCTTGGACTAATTACTGTGGACTGAGCAATGACTGATTTGAGGTGTGCAAAATAATGAGATGATCCCCCGAGAACTAAAGTTCTTAAAGGTGATTATGAAGAGTAAGCTGGGAATAGGTGTAATAAAATATGAAAGATGCCACTACATACGGTAGTTTCTTACAAATTTATTTTAAGCCTTACATGATATATCCAGTAACAGTGGATATATTGTTGGAACTCAGAAGAAAGCCCTGCAGTGAGGCTACAGATTCTTAAATCACTGACAGATAGATGTCAATTCAAGTCTTAAGTTTTTCTGTTCTATTTCTATAATGTTTCTGGTGAATTTCACATTCATTTATTTTTCCAACTTATATTTAAGTATCCTTCATAATTTAAAAACTGATTTGAATTGTGCTTGCTCCAGCAGCACATATGCTGAAATTGAGACAGTACAGAGCAGATTAGCATAGCTCTTGTGCAAGGATGACACATAAAAATCAATTTGAATAATCATTTATCAATACATTATAAACTCATATATATGTGCATACACACACACACCATGTTTGCCTTGATGGAAGCATATTATTTAAATTACCCCTTTTAAAACTTTCACCACATTGTATTTCTTCAAGTATCAAGTCATATCTTCACGATGAAACAGCAGGATCTGCATCATCATGTATAACCAGAGATGTGAAGAAAAAAATGAAACAATTACAAGCAATCATGTTTAAACTAGAAGTATCTGGATCCTTTGCTCAAATGCTCTTTTAAACTATTGTGAGGAGAAAACTCAAGAGCAACCACCTCCTTATTATGGAATTGAGAGGTTTGGTATACATTACTTAAAAAAAAAAGATTTAAAAAACTGATCTTTTACACCCAAACAACTTGACCAGTATTTTTACTATAAGTCTGGTACAGTAAATGTTTTCTTTTGAACCTAAATGGAAGGAGCTCCTCGTTATAAGCATACGCTGGGTTAAAGGAAAGTGATATAGTCTTGGAACATTCCAACACGGTTAGAATTAGGACAAACTAAGTTTATTAAACCAGGTTGGCAAATGGCAAATAGAAAGAATAGGATAGTGTAAATGTACTAAGCAAAATAAGTGTTCTAGGAAAGACACTTTTTAAAAGACAAAATATAGCACCTGTCAGGTTAGCAATTATTCTAAACAGTCTGGATTAATGTTAATGAAAAATTCATTTTCCAAGTGCCCTGTGAAAAATACGAATATAAATATTAATTCAAAGTTGATACAAGAATTTTTTTTTTCCCAAAAGCCCTTTCAACACGACACTTCCCATGCAATTTAGCATGGGAATTTAGCAAAGCATAAAGGTGCAATGCTGTGGCTTCTCCCTGACGATAAATGTCCCCTTTAGCCCTACACTTATATAGCTCATTAATGCACTTATATATCTAGGGTTTTTTTACATCTATATTTTTATTTTGGTTTCTATTTGTTTACAGTTGTTGCCCTTGACCATTCTGTATATGACAATCAATATAAAACAATTAAAAAGAGAGAAATGCTAAAAACATCAACATGAACAATGATACTCTTTTATATTAAGGCACATGACTGTTATTTATAGACTCTTGGGTAAAAAGTATTTTGGGTACTTTTTTTTGGGTACTTATCTTGGGTAATAAGCATTTACAAAACCAATGATTTTTACAGAGTAGAATTTTTATTACTATTTTCCCTGAGAGTTTGTGTGAATTACACTGTTCTAACCGAAATTTTTCTTTGTTGTTGCATTTGCCTTTTTTGTTTTTGTTGCTATTAAAGATTCAAAGGGAGACTGAAGGAAACACTTGAGATGGCTATAATATTCACTAGTAAAAAAAAAAAACTTCAAATAAAAGGATTGCATTATAAAACTCAGTAGCAAGGTATTCAATTAAAAAAATAAAACACTTTGAAAAAAATATAACACTCTGTAATATGGTATCCCATTGTGGAGGAAAAATAGGCAGCTTGGAATGATTTCTTTCCATACTGAGATGAAAGCAGGCTAACAAATGTTAAATGTGGAAAATAAATATTGAAATGTCATTGTTCAAACTAGTGTATTTCATATACCCCATCCTGCAATTATTATGATTTATGTTTAAGGAACTTGAAGTTTTTTTTCTTTACCTTCTGAATCTTCTTTATCATTTTCTGGTGAATTATATGCTGCAATATTTCTATCAGAATTCCTATAACTGAGACAACAGCAAAAATCTCCTTTTCTGTGAATATCCCCAACATTACTTTTTAATAGTCACAATTCAAATTCAAACAGAATATTATTATTGAGGTGATAATAAAAATGTTAAAACAAATTTGCTGCTGATTATGTTATGAACCAATGATGTTTTTTTATGCCACCAAGAAAAGCTGCAGTAAATAACGCAAGCATTGAAAACCGTTTAGGAACAATAATGACCAGTTTGGTTATTACACCTTATTGATAAAGAAATATATCTATCCATAGACCCTATTTAACATTGATATACTCTAATATTTTCCCCTTCAAAAGACATATGTAGATAGAGATTAAAAATTGACTCAGTTATGTCCAATAATGTAGGTTTGATTGTCAAACTGATATATTGGTCTAATAAAGTAGTTGTGACTGCAAATGTGACATCTCCCAGGAGAGGACCCATGCCAGGAAATAAGGACTTAGACCCTATGAGTAAATCAGCAATTTAGCAGCAAAGACTGTGGAAAGAGGTATGTAAACAAAACCTTAAAATATTTTTTAAAAACCCCAAATCCTTAACCCTTAGCCACAAAGAACATCATATTGGAACTGCCAAAGAAAAAGAACAAAGAGGAAAGATGTACTCTCTTATTTCGCTGACAGATCGTACGCAAGCTGGATGCCATGACGCCACAATGTCAGTTGTCGATATAGCTGTAGAGACCAATGGGAGACTGAAGTATTTATCAGTAGATAGCAGTGGAGTTTCTATCCCTGATGGAAGAACGTAATAACAGGCAGGCAAGAGAGAGAGAAAAGAGGAGGAATGGGGAAGGGGAGGAGAAGGAGACAAAGGGGAGGAAGAACAAGCATAATCTTCCAGAAAAGAATAGCGGTGCTATTTAGAAAGAGACTGTTGTACCCATCAGGAGGAACTGTCCCTATGGTGAGAGCCACATGCTCAGTGGGAGATAATAGATCAGGAGCCTTCAACAGCGCATTGCAGTTACAAAGCAAAATAGCAGAAATGCTCAATAGAAGATGCATTTTTGTGTACGCGAGCCTAAGTTCAGCTGAGCATTCCCAGATTTGATTCTATTTTCCTTTTGGTTGCGGTCGGTTGTGGTGGACGCTCTAGAGACTGTATATTTTACATGTACATGTTTGGGCTGAAGACAGAGGACTTCATGTTAATTGAATACTCAAATTGTACACATACTCAAATTGTATGCATGGGAAATGAAGTTCTGAGAAACATGCATCATATTTAATTCCTAAAGATGAGCAATATTGATTCCCTATCATTGAATATGGAACTGGGGCCCAATAGAGTAGGAGAATCCCTAAATAGTAAATTGGCATAACCTAAGAGCATTTGTAAAAGCTCCAAAATGATTGTCTTAAAAAGCAGTTATGATTAATGCTTTGGCTTACCTGGTTGCACTAATAGTTTGCCTACAGGCAGCTGTCAGCGAAGACTCAAAGTAACATTTTTTCTAACAGTACAATGAACAAAATACATCTATTAAATTATTGTCACAATAGTTTCTTGAACTATTCTCTTTCCCTATTTATATATATATGACCCAGAAGGCCTCACTTACAAAGACTGTCAAATTTTCAGCATAGAAAGTATGTATAAGATTTTCACAAGATTATCTTGAAATGCCTCCAAGTTGTTTCTGGCAAAAAATGTGCCCCGAATTATAAATTCTTCCCTCATGTATTTCAAGTTAAAATTACACAAATATATGTAAAAATAACATATGGTGGGTAAAATGACTTACTCTCACAACTAAGAGAAACTGCTTTGCCTCATTGCTAAGGCATCAGTAAGACTCTTAAGATACATACAAGCAATATGAATGTCCTTTTTCCACCTTTGTGCTGCTCATAGTGCCTAGCGCAATAACTTACATCAATTAAAGTCTACCTAAATGTGGGCTGAGTTATTGCTGTCATTGATTTTTATAGATATAGATATGATATAGATAGATATCAATAGATACCTTTTAGAAACTTCTGTACTTTTCTTGAAACTATAATAATTTCACAAATTTGAGCTTTCCTGGGGAATTTGGGTGTGAATTTGGCTGAGTGCATTTCCAAGCATTCTATAAAGAACTTATGCCGTAAGTAAGAATCAGGGAATGTTATCAAGTATAATTCAGAAATGATATTGAAAGAAGGAAAAGAAAAAAGAAAAAAAAAACAGAAATAAGACAAAGCCCAGAAAGTTGTGGCTTATGAATTATACCTAACCCAACCGATTTTTTTTTTTAAATGGCCAAATGAAGCAGAATATTCTGCAATGCTAAAGTCATAGAGACTTGGACTACTAACGACTAAAATACCACAGGTCTCTGTTATACATTTTAAATTCTCTTCCCAAGCATTCATCGATGATATTCAACTATGATAAAGCAAATGCTACATTGTTAGAGGAAGAAATGATTAAAAATAACTCTCTGGTGGTGGTTTATATTGCAATCAATAATTCCCAAGGAGCTCCCCATTGAATACTAAAGAATCTAGATCTAACCCAAGAGACTAAGGATGGCTTATTTCCAGTGTCATAGTAAATCAAACTGTGTGGGCCAAGCCACTCTTTTAATTGGAATTATGCCTTTTAATTGGAATCATGTTCAAAAGTGTACTTTGGGGATATTTAACATCTTAAAGACATGTAGTCTTTGCATTCACAAGCAAAAATGTTCTGGTTCTAGTGAATACTGTTTATCTCCGCTCATATATTTTTATATACTTTTAATATATATTCTTGGACTTAATTAGTATATTTAATGTAATTTAAACGTGCTATATGCTTCAGTAGCATACCTAGCATATTTGACACTTACATAAAATCATTTTTTAGCACTCCCTTTCATGTTAGAGAAATAAGTAATAGATTTAGGAGTTTGATATCTTACAATAATTACATAAGTTTTTCACATATAAAGAAAAATATTTCAAAAACGGATAGAATTTATTATGTTAAATCTATACTCTAGGACAGTTTTACAATACAGGAAGGGTAAAGCTGAGAAATCAATTAAGAATGCTTTTCCAAAAACCTGGTGAAGATGCTATGAGTACTTGAATTACCTATTTAATTGAAAATATACATCTGTTTTCATAGACATTTTTTGCCTTAAACATCTTTAGACAACTATAAATTAAATTTTTATATAAACTTTGCTTTTATGTGATGTGATCAGCACTGGTGTTATATGCAACTAATGAATCATTGAGCACTGCATCAAGAACTAATGATGTACTATATGGTGGCTAATTGAATTTAAATAAAATAAAT